TACAAACGTCCCTCGAGAGGGCCACAGGAGCTGAGGTTGAACTACGTATAGTCTCAGGAGATGACTATCATGGCAGAGACTTATTAAGTGATTACTTGCGCGAAAGCAGAGTCATAGTTTCAAACATCCCGCGAGAGGGCCGCAAGAGTTGAGCCGAGCTACGTATAGTCTCGAGAGAGGGCTGTCATCATTCCATTGAGATGAAGATAAGGAGGGCGCTAAGGAGCTGGGCATCTGTGGTGCTGGGCACCCGGTACGGGGCTCCTAGTGAAAGGGGCGAGACCCATCGTTTAGGCGATATCATGGGAAACTCCCAAGGTGGAGAGAGTGAGACCCCTCATTTAGGCGGCATCATGGGAGGTGCCCAAGGTGGAGAGGGCGAGACCCCTCGTCTAGGCAGCATCATGGGGGGCCCAAGGTAGAGAGGGCGAGACACCTCATCTAGGCGACATCATGGAAGGGGCCCAAGGTGGAGAGGGTGAAACCCCTTGACTAGGCAGCATCATGGGGGCGCCCAAGGTGAAGAGGGCGAGACCCCTCATCTAGGTGACATCATGAGAGACGCCCAAGGTGGAGAGGGCAAGACCCCTCGTCTATGCGGCATCATGGGGGGTGCCTAAGGTGGAGAGGGTGTGACCCCTCGTCTAGGCAGTATCAAAGGAGGCACCCATAGTGGAGAGAGCGAGACCCCTCGTCTAGGCGGCATTATGGGGGCATCCAAGGTGGAGAGGGCGAGACCCCTCGTCTAGGCGGCATCAAGGGAGGCACCCACGGTAGGTCTCATCTAGGCGGCATCATGGGAGACGCCCATGGTGGAAAGAACGAGACCCCTCGTTTAGGCGGCATCATGGAGGGTGCCCAAGGTGGAGAGGGGCAGACCCTTTGTCTAGGAGGCATCAGGGGAGACACCTAAGGTGGAGAGGGCAAGACCCCTCGTCTGGGCGCTTGCTGCTGGGAGCCTGGTGATGGGTGCCTGATGATGGGCAACTGCTGCTGGGCACCTGGCGATGAGTGTCTTTTGTCTTTTTGTCTACCTTGTTGTTATGTCATGTTCTGACTTTTGTAAACTGTTTGTAAATTTTAGGAAAATAGGACAATTCGGACATAATAATCTTCGCAAATTTTTATTTCATAAAATGATAAATAACAAAATAAATCAACTTAAACAATAAAGTATAGATAAAATCTTTCAGGTGTTCGATGTCCTATAGGTGGGCCAAGACTTTCCTGGCGGAGTTCAAATTACCTTCTCCTTATAGGCCAAGGCTTGTCCTCTGCCAGCAACGTACTGCCTCAAGTGGCCACGCTATATGTGCTCTTCGATCTTCCTTTTAAGATCAAAGTAGTCGTCAGTATCATGGTTGTGGTCGCGGTGGAAACAACAGTATTTGTTTAGGCTCCTCCGATTCGGGGCGGTCTTCATCTTCTCTAGCCAACGTATTGTAGAATCATCTTGTATTTGGAATAGGATATGCTCCACAAAAGCATTGAGTGGCGTGAAAGCTTGTTGTTCTCTTAGAGGTGGGGGACCAAGGCGGTCCTTGACAGAGATTCTCTCTGTCCTATTCTTTTTGTTATTTGCCTCCCTCCTATCTTTGCGGGTGTCCTTCCTTTTCTCTCCTCCTCGAGAGGACTTACCTCTACGGGCTTTGGTGACAACCTTGTGTGTTCATGTATTTCTGTGCCCTAGACAGCAGTTCGGGCATGTTGGAGGGCTACTTCTTGAAGACAAAGAACATGAAACTGGAGGAGCGAAGACCAGCGATAAAGGTGGTCAGGGCTACCTTATCATTTGGCTCCTCAATCTGGAGAGTCTCCTTGTTGAAACGGGCGAGGTACTCTCTGAGGCTTTCATCCCTATTTTTGATGTCGGTGTCCCCCAATGAAATGGGAGATGAAGGATCTACTCAGTTCTGCCAAGGAGTGGATGGTGGAGGGTTTGATCTTTACGAACCATTGACAAGCATACCCCTTTAAGATGGTAGAGAAGGCTCTACACATAATCTCCTTAGGCACATTATGGAGTTGCATGAGAGATTTGTATGTGTCAAGATGATCGAGGGGGTCTCTGGTACTGTCGAAGATCTCGATGGTAGGCATCTTGAACTTCGAGAGTAAGGAATAATTGACTATGTCCGCGACAAAAGGTGTATCAATACGTCTTACTAGGTAGTTCACCGCCTCGGGCGCATATGCCTTGATGGTGTTGAGGCATCACCGAGTTGGTTTTGCACCTCTCTGATCTTCTCGTCCAATTGATTAGGGACATCCTCAGTTGGGTGGTGGTACTGGCCTCCATAATCACCATATTGGAGAGACTCTCCCTCGTCTTCCTCTTGCGCAAGTACGTGTGGAAGGAGAACACATGAGCTCCCTGCATGCTGAGGAGGGGCTGCTAGGCGAGGGGTGCCCTGTTGTGGCCTTACGACATTCTAGCGAAGGCCCCCATGGTGGGGGGCTACTTGGCGCCCAGAGAGGATGGACTGTGGCTCCTCTATTGTTGAAGGGAGTGCGATTCTTCCCACAGGGTGAGGGGCGACACCTCCTTGGGCGAGTATCAACTATATGATCTATTGATTTTGGCTTACCAGCAGTTGCATGGTCTGTAAAAACTGTTGCCCGAAGACGGGGGTCGCCATGGCAGATGGTTCTGAGGGTGCGAGGGGAGGCGGGTCCTCCTCCCGGTGGACGGGGTTGTTGTCTCCCGGTTGCTGACTCATTTATCTGGTCGTGATTACCATGGATTAAAGAGAATAGAAAACTTAACCGCTTCCCACAGACGGCGCCAAACTGCTGATGAATAAATTGATATTGTGCCAAATCAACAGTCGAGTATATGTAAAGGTGCAATTAAAGAGCAGTAAATAGTTAATCAATGACAAAACGGTAAATATGGAGTCAACACCAAGATTTATGGTGATTCAGTTCAGGTGACTTGCTCCACTCTCGAGAACGGTAGCGGTGGTCGAGGATGTTTTATTGATGAGTAAAGTCTCCGAAAGAGTATGTTCCGGAAATATTACAATGATGAGGAGAGAGAAACAATGTGTGTAGGGAAGTATAGTGTGTGTAGAGATCTCAAAGTATAGAGGCCTCAAGGTCATGCCCTTCCATGTGGAGAGGGCTAACATTATATAAGTTGGGTGAGGCGATGACGTGAGGGAGAAGACTTCTACTATTTTGATAAATAAAGTTATAGTAGGATTTGATCTTCATGAGGTGTACCCCGATATTCTCTCTCTCACGTGCTCCTATCTCTCCTGTCTTCTTGGATCCTGAATTGTGTCGGACTTGCAAAGTGGCCCTGAGCCACCCTTTAGCTGGCTTGAGATTTCTTGATTTATTGGTCTGACCCAATTGATTTTGGACTCTTCAATAATTATTTTTTTTGTTTAAATTTCAAGGCCCCTTTATCTGATTTAGATTTTTTTCTTAATACTTTTCTTTTTTTCATTTGCTTGGCTAATATGAAGGTCACCCATTTGTTTTCTTAGTTTAAATTTCAAGGCCCCTTTATCTGGTTTAGATTTTTTTCTTAATACTTTTCTTTTTTTCATTTGCTAGGTTAATATGAAGGACACTAATGAGTGGACTTTCTAGTTATTAAAAATATTGTTAACACCCCTTCTATTTTATATTTAGACATCGCTATATTCTATGTCATTAAACTATTATTTATAATAAAAATAAACTATCCAAAATACAAAAATTACCCCACATAAACCCAAACAATCTTTTTATATAAAATTCGAGTCGATTAAAATTTATTTTTCTATATATTAAAATTTGAGCTGATTAATTTTTTTTTTCTTCATATCAAAAATTGAGTCGATTAAAATTTAATTCGAGCTGATGAAATTTTTTTTTTTTATGTATTAAGATTTGAACTTATTAAAAGTCTTTTTTTACATATTAAAATTTGAGCTAATTTGAGTTTTACTTGAGTTATTAGTCTTGATTAAAATTCGCTTCGAGTCGATTAAATTTTATATTTTTTTAATTATTAAAATTCGATTCAAGTTGATTAAAACTTATTTTTTATCTATTAAAATTTGAGTCAATTAAAATTTATATTTTTTATGTATCAAAAATTGGGTTAATTAAAATTTAATACGAGTTGATTAAAATTTGATTTAAGTGTTGAATAGAATTTTAATCAGCTCAAATTTTAATACATAAAAAAATATAATTTTTAATCGATTCAAACTTTAAAACATAAAAAATAAATTTTAATTAGCTCGAATGAAATTTTAATTGATCTAAATTTTAATACATAAAAAAAATTTAGAAAATAGAGGGGGTCTCATTGAAGATATGTTTATCTAGAAGGTGTGAATAAATTTTTTTCTAAAATATATCATGGGTAATTTAGTAAAACTGTGTCTAATTAACACATTTAATCTAACATAGGATGCCAATGAAGATTTAAAATATAAAAAAGATATCCTTAAAAATATAATAAATTAAAAAGAGTGTATCTAAAATTTTTCCATAAATTTAGTATTTCAGAAGTTTTGGATGAGAGGCCACATAATTTATGCTGTTAAGATAAGTAACAAAGTTACGGTAGGGACTGTATGAGGTAACGACAATCCAATCTAATTCAATCCAACACTAAGCTGACTCATGATAAGGACAAAACCGGTTCAACATCCTACTATTTCTATTTGTTTATTGACTCTTTTTACAACTACATCACTGTGCACTAACCACCAAAACAAAGTAACAAACAATCCCTCCATCGCTCTCTCGTCTTCGACTCTCTTCATCCGGTGCTCTTAATCGGCGAATCCTAATTCAGTCTATCACGTTCGTTGCTCATCGCCGATCATCAGAGCCACCAGGTACTTCTCTCTCTCCACATTTAATGTTCAAGATGCTATCTTTATGTATGCACAATTCACGCAAGTTTGGGAAGATGAACTGATAAATTTGTTGATTTCTTTGGTTGGGATTTTTTTTGTTGGAATCAATACTTTGTTCTAGTGGTGGATTTCTAGGGGGCTGACAATGACATAAACCCATTCTGGTCTGGTCATAAATATATGAATACATGCGTGTACGTCAATTTGTCGGAAAAGTACTCTTTTGAGTAAGTACAGGGAAAAAGGGCATTTACTACTTTTTAACCTTTTTATGGAAATCTGCAATGACCTCTATGACTCATGTTCTTGTGCGTTTGAGACTTTGAGTTCTATATTATTTATGATAATCCCTTGGGTTCATGAAACCGGCACAACACACAGGTTGCACAGTGAGAATGAGGATTGAAGATGGGCTTGATCAAGTCTCTGCATCAAGAAAACATCTTGTATTTGCTTACTATGTTACTGGTCATGGCTTTGGGCATGCCACTCGGGTTGTTGAGGTGCAATAATTCTTCCATTCTCTTTAAAATTATGTCTCTACTCGGCTGTTTTATTATTTTTGTATGTTGCTTATTTATGATTTTAGACTCTGTGAATTCTTTCTTTACTTATCAAGTTTGCTTTGGGTGGTTGAAAAATTCTTTATTTATTTGTCTTTTTTTTCTGAGCAAGTAGAATATTATTTAAGAGGAGAAGAGAGGTACACTAATTGGTAACAAGATTCCTCAAAGAAAAAGAAAAAAAGGATGTAAATGTCAAGGAAGAATGAATTAAGAAACTAAAAAAGAACCGCCTTCTAATGCCTTGGAAAATCATAAAAAAAGCACCCATGGTTTTTCTTGTTTTGCTTGTTTTCTTTTTTTTGCTTGTTTTCTTTAAAAAAAATAAGAGAAAAGAGAGGGAAATTGGAGTGGTCCAGTCTTGAATGTAATTACATGGTGAGCTTGTGACTTTTTTTTTTCCGCTGAAAATGTATTCTCGTGTACTAAGCCACCCTTTTCTATTAACGAACAACCAACTCGGAAAAGTTTGTTTTGTTCTTATCTTTTATTGAGTTGTCATATGCACATTTGAATCTTGATTTCAGCGTAGCACTTGAAAAGGTGATGACCAGTGGAAAATTTTTTAATCAAACATGTGCTGTATACTTCCCCACCAAGTCTAGTTTCAATACCAAAAAGTAAGAAGGAGATGGTAGTAGAGTGTGGATTTCTGTTACTTTTATATATACCCACACAAATGTTGATTACTTTTAAGAAGTTAGTGTACTGTGTACTAATTCCAACCAATCCAATCCAATGATAATGAGTAAACCAAGTCAACTCTTATTACTATTTCTCACTCCATAGCTCGGCACATAACCCAAGAAAAACAAAAGTCTATTATCAAATAAGGGATATGGGTGACAACTCCATGTGACATCAACACCAACAAGCATACCACTCATACTCACACCCCCACAGATTTCAATTTGAGATTGAGGATTGAAATCAAGGTTGATCAAGTCTGTACATTAATGAAGCAGATTATGTTTTCTTGCTATTTACTGGCCAGTGCTTGGGGCATGCCACTATGGTTGTTGAGGTGTAATTATACACCCACTTTCTCTCTGAAATTCTCTCTATGCTATCTTGTTTGATTACTTTAATGGTTTTATAATGTAAGACTTTGAAAGCCTTTTTAGTTATCAAGTTCCCTTTGGCTGGCACGAAGATTCTTTGTTTTTGCTTCCAGTCTCTTTATTAAAAGAGAAAAATTGAATTATACGTAAATATGTTTCTGATGATTATAATCATCAGGCAAACTTATGATTTTTTTCTGGTGAATATGTTTTTCCTTTCAATTGCAACTAAGAAAAATTGGTGCTTGTTTGTTTTTATCCCTGCTGAATTGCCACATGCATAGGTGTATTTGAATCTTGATTTGAGCACAAGGATTGAAAAGCTAGCGACTCATGATCTCTGTACATTTATACTATTAATAAAGGGAGAGGGTAGAGTTTTGTTCTTTCCCTTCATCAGTAGTTAATTACAAATCTATATGTGCTTTCTTTCATTTAACCACCTATTACTTCCCCTATAACAACATTTAACCACCTAGACTTATCCATTCTAATCCCTTCACACTGCCATATCTTTCTTCTTCTTTCTATCTGCACAGGGTACCGTATGCGCATGACCCCTTATTGGGATTATAAGAAAGTGGAAAAAAAAAATTCTATCGGACAAGTGTTGTGTACTTTTCAACTGAGGTGAATTTCACTTCCAAAACATAAGAGGAGGATAGGAGAGTGTGAATTTCTTTTAACTTTTATATTCTTCAGTTCTATTGTCAACCACACGGGGCCTGCCTATACAACAATCGAATTCTTATTTATTTGGGCACACAACTTCGAGCATACATGGAAACATATATATACATATATTTGGTTATTTTACTTTGTTTGCAATGGATATATTGCTGAAGAATTGAGTTCTTGTTATAATGATTAGGTTGTTCGACATCTCATTAGTGCCGGGCATGATGTTCATGTTGTGACTGGTGCACCTGACTTTGTCTTTACCACTGAGATACAGTCTCCTCGACTCTTTCTCCGAAAGGTATGTTTATTGTTAAAATTCTGCATGCTGAAAGATGCTCTACGTGGAAATAGTTGATCAATTTGCCTTTCTCAAACTTTCTGCACGCCATTCCCTTATTATATCTGGAACCACAGGTACTCCTTGACTGTGGAGCAGTTCAAGCAGATGCTTTGACTGTGGATCGCCTTGCTTCCTTAGAGAAGGTATGGTTAATTACTAAGATGAGAGGTCTAGAAGTATCCTACTTTTCTTTTAGTTATTTGTTAATTACATTGGCAGATGAAAGGATTGATAAAACCCTCATGTTGATTCCAATTGGTGAAGAGAATTGTTGCGATTTCTTCTTCATTGTTCATATTCCACTGATGAATTTGCATTAGTTTCTTCTCAAGGGTGCTCAAAAATTACTTGCCTGCTTGCTATACTAATTATTTCTGGTATCATTGGTTCATCTAGTATTCCGAGACAGCTGTAGAACCTCGTGATTCTATTTTGGCAGCAGAAGTTGAGTGGCTAAACTCCATCAAGGCAGACTTAGTGGTAATTAATGCTTGTTATCACTGTACGGAATTTCGACCAGTATATATATAGTGGGTACATGGAATAGTATGATCTTGGTCATTTGCATTCGAATGTCAAAAGGAAATGGAATCATTCAGTTTTCTATTTCTGGAATTGAGCTTGGGTCAAGTAAGGGAATTTTTTTGACTTATCATGGATGTATGTTTTCATTGCAAAACACATCCATGGGGAGCAAACAATGTGATGCGAGCTCAGTTTGTAGACTAAGACAAAGAAGTACTTTTATATAATCTGGTCATGCAAATGCGCTCTTGTGCAGGTTTCTAATGGATTTTAGACTTTTTTTTGGTTTTCAGTGTTATCTTTTAGATTGGTTTCCACTTCATGTAAGGGTCTTAGGTAATGCTTATCCAGTTCAAAAAAAAGGAATGCTTATCAGTACCTTGATGGATAGGTTTCGGATGTTGTCCCAGTTGCATGTAGGGCAGCAGCTGATGCTGGAATTCGATCTGTTTGCGTCACCAACTTTAGGTAATTTGTCATCTATAAATAGTTTTTACTACACTGCGTTTCCTCTGTGATTTCTCTTGCTTGTTTTGCTCTTTCTTGCACTAGTGAGGTAATTTTTTCATATGCGACTTGATGGCCTCTGGAGTGTGTTTGTGAAAGTAGGGAACACATAATGCTAACTCTTATGTCTAATTTCTTTTTAAAAAAAAACACTGCATTTCCGACACTCTGACCATTTATAATTAAAATTGACTGTTTCTTAACAAATAAAAAAGGTTATCCCTTTTCGTAATGTACATGGTTCCTATGTTCTAGAAAAATCGCAGAGATCATAAAATGATTGCATTCTTGATTTCAGCTATCAATGGATTATACTTATGAAAGAAAGAATTGTCGGCAGTAGGACCGACTTTTTAATTTGTCTGCCTTCTTATGCTCAACAGGGAATTGCAAGCTGGTACAATGATGGATTTTATGCATAATTGGAACGTTCTCTCTGTCTCATGTAGTCAGTTCTTAAGGAATTGCAAGGAGGGTAAAATGCCTGAAATCTTGATTTGGACTATTAATGGACCATATTAATGCAAGAATGAAGCATGGAAAACCCTACTAGATATCAACATCAGATCAAAGGAGGAAGTTTTAATTCAAGTTAAAGGTCCTTAAATGCTCGCTTGATTTTTTTCTATCCACTCCCTTTTACCCTGTACTTCGCCAGTCGAACAAATGATTCTCTTGTCAAAGCTATAGGGAGATCTTTTTCTAGTTAGCCTTTAGTGATAAATAGCATGATAATGGATCATAATTATGTAAGAAGTAAGCATAAAAACCATGCTAAATTGTCGGATAATGTGATGCAGTCCATAAGTGTTATTCAAGAAATGAAAAATTCAAAGATGTGACAAACTATGAAATTCAACTTGCTATCAAAGACAAAAACCTATGTGAAACCTTGCATCATCTTATTTGAGTCAAGGTGGGTCTTATTTTTGGGTTACTTTAAGTTTGTGTCTTGGTATTCTTACTTTATGCTGTTTTTTTTACAGTTTTCAAAGAAATGGTTTTTTTTTTTTTTTTTGTAATTTTTAGATTTGCTTGAACAGAGTATGTAGTATAATCCACAAGTTGTACTCTGGGTCAAGTTTTAATTTTGGGTTTTTCTAGAGTAGAGTCCTAGTTTAGTCTACGTAAGTTTCCTAATCAATGTTTTATTTTTGAGTTCTCAACTTTTTAGGATTAGGAAATACATAGGACTGTATACATAGATCTGTGATGTTTTTTAGATCAAGGGATATATTATATTTCTGACTTTTCAGCAATCATAGGCTTTGAGAATAGTGTGATGCAATTCAAAACCCTTATTATGGTGTCCAAGGAACCCTATGAGTGATTCCTATTCTTTTCTTCTTCTTTCTTCTATTTTTCTAAAAGTATCAAAGTTCTTAACCCATAATCAGATCTGACAATTGAATCTTTATATCCTTAAACGTAATGTATGAAACCCTATCATTTCCCAAACAATTCACTAAACTATAACCCACAAAGTAATACTGCTCACCTTTAATTACTATTTACTGGTACTGTTTGCACCTCTAAATAGTTATGGTCTTCACTGATATTCTACCTAATTTTTTTGTCAAAGCTGAAAGATCATAGATTTTGCGGGTTAAGCATTGACATAGTCATGAATGGAATTTGTCTCTAAAGCTGACTAAGTGAATATCTGAGTGTGGTGGAATAGTATCAAATAAGTTGCCTAATGAAACTCGTCATATAGATGACTTTTAACCAGAAACATCAATATTTGGAGTGCTTAATTTGGTTGCATCCTTTGAGAATCTAAATGAGTATAAAGAGCCACAAATGCTACCATATTCATATAGTGCTCAAGAGAAGATTAAGGCTACAACAAAAGAAGATATCACCATGAACAAAGAGATGAAATCAAAAACAGATTATTACAAGTTTGAATGAGCAAGAGGAATTACTACAAAAACAGATTCTTGGCATCCTTATGGGTGGGCCTCAGTCACTTATGGATGGAGGGCTGTTTGTGATTTATAGATAGCCATATCTGATAGTTTTTGTCTAAATGTGGTTCTCTTTCACCGCCGTGTAATTTGTTTCATTGAGGTTGGATTTCTTGTCCAACTTAACCTTATGTAAGGTTTTTGATTTTATCAATAAAAGTTATGTTTCTTACCAAAAAAAAAAAATTGAGCAAGAGGAATTAGCAGCACATTTAATAGCACACAAATACGAGATGGGGTGAAGGGAACCCTATTAGGCTTCATGTTCAATGCCAGTATGTCAGTCTGAGGATTTGCATTCTGAAAAAATTCAACAACATGAACATACAATGTCCAAATCTTTTTGATATTTCCTCAATTCAGGAAGAAAAACAAGACGGGTCTTAAGACCTCTTTGAGACAGGCACAGGTGCAATTTCAAAGCTTGTGAAGAATGATACTTCTACACTTCAAAACTCGAGGTTAACTTTTCTCCAACTAAGGAAGAATGATGTAGTCCACAAGTTGTTCAAGAAAGAAAAATTCAAAGAATGTGACCCTGGAATTTGACTTGCTATGAAGATAGGGACCACCATGAAATGTTGCATAGTTTTATTTGACTCTACTTGGGTCTTATTTTTGACCAACTTAAAGTAAGTTTGCTGACGTTCTTATTTATGCATCTGTCTTTATATATGTTTTATTATTTGTTGTAATTTCTGGATTTGCTAGAGCAGATTATATTGTATAACCCATGGATTGTTTCTGGGTCAAGTTTTAATATTTAGCTTTTCTAGATTAGAGTCCTAGTTCTAGTCAATGAGTCCGAAACCATAGACGTTCCTAATCCCTTTTACATGACTCTAATTCTGCTTCTGCACAGGTCCAAGCGACAAAAACCTACTTTTTTGCTTCTCCAAGTAATAAGATTTCCTCTATATGTGATTACCAACTCACTTTAGCCCTATTTTGCATATCGATCTCCAATATATGAACTTTTTATTTTGCGCTTGACTAATTATAGTTATGCAGTCTAAGTTACCTCTAATAATTAATCAAGTTATTCTTGCCTATCTGTTTTTTCCTTGTCTCTCTTCTGCAGTTGGGACTTCATCTATGCGGAATATGTGATGGCTGCTGGATATCATCATCGATCGATAGTTTGGCAGGTGACCATTTCTTTGCTAAGTATCATCATCTTCATTAAGTCCTGTTTCTCCACTAATGGGGTTGCTGTTTCTTTGTGATTTCACTATATTTGCTTTCATTTGATTTTATTTGGTCCTAGATATTAGTAGGGATTGCAATAAGTCCATTTCTACTGATGACACATGAGGTGCATTAGATAATATATTGCGGAATGGCCAGTATTGACTAGAAACTTTTTAAAGTGAATTTGGAAACTATAATAATTGTTGATGTCAATTTTAGATTCTTGCATATTTTTTAACTTCGTTGTCTTTTATGAAGGTATGTGATGTATTTTTCTTTTTCCCATAAAGAAGGAATGCATGTTATAAATAGACACCGACTTTCCTCCAAATGAAAAAAAATTCAATTCTTTTGCTTGGTCATTCAATGATGTATATTTTTACATGCTTTCAGTGATTATGCTAAGTTGCTAATCGATATATAAGAAATAAGTCTCCAACCATCTATGTTATATTAGCAGTATTACCATAAGAAAAATGATGAACATAGTCTGAATTTTTATCAGACTCACTGATTCTTTATGCCTAATATCTATGGACACCCACAGCGTCTTATAGCTTCTCTGACATACCAGAGTCCCTATCCATTTGCTACCAACAGATTAATTTTCCTACTACTTGCATAGAGGGAAAGATTGACATATATCTCTGCATACTATGAAAAGAAACAATATCAGTATGTTGTTCACATTTCCGTTTTCAAATAAGAATGGGTATGTCTATGTCCAAAGAGGTAGATCCTGCTCCCCTCGCTTTTGAGTTGAGTTTTGGAATTTATGTTGTCCAGGCTGTCCAGCATTGGAAATTGCTAGTTTGACTTTATTTGGTTGGTTGGATCATAATATCAATATCATTCTCATCATTCATTGATACGGATTGTCACTAATGTGGACCCATATATTGGTTTGCTGGAATTCAATAAGTAAAGAGACTTTGTATCACACATCGAATATTTAAGGCCATCCAAGGTTAGTTTATGTGGTGAAAAGGCATCTTCACTCATTGCCAATTGGTTTTTGAGTGGATGCACTGATATAATATATGGTCCGTTATGATGTTGTGACAGCCATTAAGGACTGGTACACCACATTGTTAGCTTCTGACTACTACGGACCTTTACAACCTGTGAATGGGGTGTTTTCCAAAGGGCCTCAATACTTTTTTTACACAAAATTCTACTTGCATCTGAAAATGTTGAACATGAAAAACGAAATATAACAGTGATGATAATTGAGACCTATATACCAGTGAGGTGCCCGCGTTTATCATTAAATATGACAACATTAGCACATTTGGTTTACATGACTTCAGATTTAGAATTGTTATTGGCTGGAGCAGTGCTAGCATCACTGTGAATGATCTTTTGAGGTAGTTTTACAATTATTGGATCTTTGGAGTTTTGTTGGATATTAGTAGGAGCTTTTTTATATGTATGTAACTTATATATATGTATGCTTTATGCCTGGATCAAAATCATAATATATTTTTTTTTTTTCAAAATCATAATAATAGGTAGTATCAAATGATGTAAAGTGTAAACCATATATACAACTTTCAGATTTTTAAGCCAGTGGGAAAGTCGTCCTTAAAGCATTGCGTTGAAAGGAGAGAAGCACTGAAGTGGAAAAAAGGAAGGAAAGAGGTCATATATGCATGGATATGAACAAGTATGTACTTGAAGATAAATTTAGTGAAGAAATATGAATTTTGGAGAAGAAACCACAAAACCTAGAAAGTATATATCGCTCAAATCTAGAAATGAAGAAAAGAATGACTTTTTTTACATCTGTTCACATTAATAAAATAGTCATACACATCCAATAGTGAATACTAGAACTTATAGCAGGTGTTTCGAAATGCAGGCAAACTAATACTCCACTAATTTTGGATCATAATTGACAATACCTTTAATTTCAAGATAGCTGTCAATTGAAATAGGCAAAGCTTTCTCATTCTTGGGGAAAATAATTCCTCCACACAAATGGGTAGTAAAAATTTCCCACGCACATATATTAGTTAGTGATAGGATAGCCTAATTGCATGTTAAATGTACGACAACGGACTTAGGGTGTAGGAAATGGATCAGATGAGGGAAATTGGGATCATAGTTACCCTAATCATCCCATGATTAATGATTTAGGCTGCACAATCCCCATGTGGGCGGGTTCGCGACCTAAGTTGTGACCCTAAACCCCCCTAATCGATCAACAATCTAAGGTAACCTCAAATTGTAACCCTAACCCCGAATTATAAGTTGTCATGGTATTTTATTTCTTTATGTTGATTTATTGTGATTTTCTTTTTTTTTGTAATTCAAATATGTGATCATTGACTTTTATTATTCACAACAATTAATCGTCAAACAGTTTTGGATTAGAACTCACTTTCAAACTCTTATCGCAAATATAAAATAAATATTAGCTAACTGAATATGGATGTTTAAATTTTTGAGTTCATGAAATAGTGAAAGTGGGCCTAACAAGAGTTCCAAAAGTGAACCACAACCCAAAACCACATCATGTATCAAAGAAACTATTGTACCTGTTCCAGGATCATGTACCACAACCCATGATCTTGGTAACATTGGATCAAAATGCATGGTACATGATCTGAAATTATAGAGTTCTATGATTTTGATGGAATTCAGGGAGTGTCACCAATGATAGATTATATTTTTACCCTTTGCTATAATATAAAAAAGCATTCTTAGAAAAGATTCTTTGCTAACATTAATTTTTTTTTTTTTTGTTTTTTATGATTAATACAGATAGCAGAGGATTATTCTCACTGTGAATTCTTAATTCGCCTTCCCGGATATTGCCCAAGTATGTTGGTCTTGGCATTGCCCAGACATTGACTTTCTACTTTCTTATCTACTCTTCCTTATCTATGTATCTGATGCTGGAAATCCATTTAGATGTTTTATGTAAAATTAATATTTAATTTGGCAGTGCCTGCTTTCCGTGATGTGATTGATGTACCTTTGGTCGTGAGGCGGTTGCACAAATCTCGAAAGGAGGTTGTTACAAAAAATATTTAATCAATGCCTTAAGGGTAGAGCTAATACAAGATGTAGGTTTCCTATGAATTCTGTTGTTTTCAACCATTGCAGGCGAGGAGGGAAATTGGAATTGCAGATGATGTCAAGCTCGTTATCCTCAACTTTGGTGGACAAGTGAGTTACTATCTAATCATTTTGGCATGCTATCTTGCTTTGATGCATTAGTGACTTGGTTTATATTATTTAAAATGGTTTTGGATATGTTGCGCATTGAGAAGACTTTTGTAATTTTTATTTTTTACTCTCTCTCACTCTGGCACCCATCACTCTGTACCTGGATTGTTAGATGGTGCCGGTACAGCTTGGCCTCATTGGCTTTATGATTTTCTCACCTTCACATTCTCTCTCTTTTGTTATTTGGATTCATCTGTTAATTGCGCCTTCTAACAGTTCCAAACCTGCTGTGGGGTCTGTGACTAGCTTCTGCATGATTTTGATGAATTTAATTTTGATAAGGATTTTAAAGTAGTATTCCAACGTATTGCTGCACAAGTTTGACGACATAAGAAAAGTGATGTTAGTTTTGCTGGATCAAATGTCTCTGTACCATCTGTACTGACAAAAATATTGTTGCTAGTCAACTCTGATGCCACTTGTTGGGAATACTCGCAGCATTTTGGTCAGTAGAATGACAAGAAAATAAATGTATAAATATATAAATCGAAGCACATACACAACACCAATATTTATGTGGTTTGACAAAAAGCTTTGCCAAGTTCAAGGGGCGTGATCCGGCCACATTCTTTACTATTGAGAGAAGTACAATAGTACAAGCCTCACCACTCAAGGTTAAACCCCAAGCCTGGGCCCTAAATCTCTTGTACACTCCTCTCAATTTTACCACCCTCATCCCCCAGTAAAGAAACCTCTCAAATGTGAAAAGCCTCACATTCTTTTCCGAATTCGATAATCCACAAATTTCAATTTTGAAATTTGGAGTTTTCTAGATGCCTCACATCATTCAGTGGCTTCTGCCCTGCCACTCTTATCAAGAGTCACATGTGGTAATGCCTTTTTGTATGCCATTGTTGGCAGCCAAGTCCATTCACCAAATCCTCAGCATTGAAGAAAACCAGCCAACATTTAATCATTCCACCCACCTTTCACGCTCATTCCAATTCATTTGTGTTGGCTAACTATATCCTTTTGTTCTACTAACTTTTGGCACGGAATACAAGAAGTCAAGGCATTGGCACATTGCACAAAAGTGAGCTGCCCAAGCTGTTTTCTTTGAATTTGAGCAACTACTTCAACAGTATTTTATCAGTCTCACCTTTGTCACCCTTCACTTATTCATGTACCAACTGGTGAATAGGCTGATACTTTTGTTTAAAGCCACTCTTTATTACATCTTTGTTATAGAATACATGGACAATAATGTCGTTCGTGGGATCTGCATTTCGTTTTACCATTCTAAATGAGAATGATGAAGATTGTATTCTTGATGTTTTAGAGTTCCGCAGTCGTAGCTGCCCAAACACCTTTGGAGCTTTTACTTTCACTGTAATAAGCAGTCGGATTCCCACTTACTGAATGATGACATTTCGTGTCATTGTGTGACTTAGTCTGATTCATTATATGCTAGTTAACTTCTTTTTGCTTCATTTATTGCATCACTCTCTCTCTGTGCTGATGTGCCATATATGTTGGCAGCACTTGCACTTTCCATTTTTTAAATATTGAGCAAAAAGAATACTGTCCGACCAAAAAAAGCCTTCCCCTAGCATGGGTGTGCCCTTCTGCATGGGTATTCCTCATCTTCATATGTTGAATGTGCTCTAATAATTTGGATAATGAGTTGCTCTTGTGTTGCATTTAAAATTTGGAACATTACATCTGTATTTTGCTTCCCGATTGTCATTATGGTTGTATTTCTTGTTGCTCATCTATAGGCCTATATGCATAAATTATTGTGTAGTGATCTCTTCTATCAGTACTAGTTGAAGTTTATACTGTTATGCACCATGTGCAGCCAGCAGGTTGGAAGTTAAAGGAGGAGTACTTACCTTCTGGCTGGCTCTGCCTGGTATCTCCTTTGCCATATATCTGTATGTGGTCCTCTGTCCTATATGTCAGGTAGTCACACCATAATGGATGGAACTTGCTATTCTTCTGTGATTCAGGTTTGTGGAGCAACTGATAAGCAGGAGCTCCCTCCAAATTTTATCAAGCTTGCAAAAGATGTGTATACTCCTGATCTAATAGCTGCATCTGACTGTATGCTTGGTCAGTAGTGGGAACTTCAACTGAGCTGAAATGGATTTAATGTATGCTGAAGCAAATTTGATGGCCCTATTTGTTGCTCATTTTTCCAGGAAAAATTGGATATGGAACAGTAAGTGAAGCCATGGCATACAAGTTACCATTTGTATTTGTGCGTAGAGATTACTTTAATGAAGAACCATTTTTGAGAAATATGCTTGAGGTACTAATGGACGCTGCCTTTATTTCGTTTTCATCTTCTTCCTTTCTTTGGCCCTAATTCTGTACTCCGGATTCATAAATGTGTAATGTTTTAAGATATGTCAATTTTTAATCAGTATTATCAAGGGGGCGTTGAGATGATCAGGAGGGATCTACTCACTGGACACTGGAGCCCATACCTTGAACGTGCAGTTAGTTTGAAACCATGCTATGAGGGAGGCATTAATGGTGGCGAGGTACCCTCTTCTTTTTGGTTATTGAATATTTTATTCTTGTTTTTTCATAGTAAAAATGATAGAATGGAGAATAGAGGAACATGAATTCTGTTAATTTTAATTGTTGTTGCTTCATTAATCAGTGTTTTTGGATTATTTTAACTTCAAGAATAAGAGCATGAAGAGTCAAATATGATCAAGATGTGTTTTCTGGGTAAATGAGCAAGAGGAGGTTCTCAAAATTGAATCATGCATAAATATTGATGAATGTACCGTAGGTGCGGATGAACTTGCTATTTGGTGTTTCGGAATGGAAAATCTTAAAAGTAGCTGGAGTATTAGTCCCTTAGATTGCCTTATCTGTTGTGTATATAAGTTTTGAGTATCAATAAGTTTCAGTTATGAGGGTTGTACAGCTAGTGCATGAAGTGTAGAAAGCATCATATTTGCTGACGAAATCTCTTGAAAACTCTATGTCAGGATTTGACTTTGTTCTTGTCACTTTATGTACTGGGTGTGAGAATACAAAGTATTGACATTTCCATTGTGAAGACAATTGTGACCGTGATATTTGAATCTTGTGAGATGGCAAATTGGTTAGCAATGGACCAGTCTCTCATCGTTTAAACCAAAACAACAGTGGCAATTAGCTTTTGCACAACCCTGACCTTTTGAAGCAAGCCTAACACTACATTCCCAAATATCTGCTCTAATAGTAATCTTCTTTGCGAGTTAACTCCAAGTATAGATCACAGTTCTTAATGAAAGTTTTCTTGGTTTTAAATAATACTTTCTCACAAGTCAATACACCAAATTACAACAATTTATATAGCGTAAAAAAACCAGAAAACCCTATACTGCCCGTAATATTGTCCCTCTGCCATAGACAAACACATTATCCTCCTTAGAATAAAATGACAATCCCCCATTACCCTACCATTTCAAATTTAAAACCCCAAACTCACCATTCTCAACCACCATGTTTCTACTAGGAGTCAGTTTGTTTTCTAATACATTCTCAAAATTGCAGGTTGCAGCTCGCATTTTGCAGGATACAGCTGTTGGGAAGAACTATGCAACTGATAAGGTACCTGACGTTTTGTATCATGCATTATATGCTTCATGTTGCATTAGGTTGTTAAGCTGGTAAGCTGAAGTCTGTACTGCATTTCTCTTGTGATGTTTAGTTGACATGTGGCCTCTAAAGCATTTGTTTGGACCAACATCTAGTCTATCTGGTATATTGCATATCCAGGTCTGATGGCTTCCTTGATACAAAGATTGTTATTACTTTCAATAATGTAATTTTGAGATGTATTTTTTTATTTACATATAAATTCCCGTAAAATATGTGGAAGCATATTGAGTAAAGAATTTAGCGATTTTTGATATCTGATTGATGCCAAACAGGCCAGATCCTTGTATTAAACAGATTGGAATTGGAAAACTGTCATAGCTGTGCACTTTTGTCAATTCGTTCTGGTTAGATTATGGATTTAAAAAGATGATACAGAAGAAAATTGATGTTTCTGATTCTATATTTCAATTTGCTTTTATTTCTTCCCCTCGGAAGGTGAGAAGTTGAACCATTAATTTGAAAGTGCTACTGGTAGGCTGCAGTGAAGTGTATACTTCTGTGCAATTGAACTGCTGCTGCCAAGTGGCTTCACATTGCATATTATTGTCAGAACCGCCATCCTTTTGTTTTCTCCATGTGCAAAATATCACAGATGTATCTCCTTAGAAGGCATGGCAAATAGAAGTAGAATTCGCTGTCATTTCTCTTTTCTCAGCTGCCTTCCTGCAGCTAAATTTATTCCAGATCAAATGTCATGGAAGCTGATCATATAGTTGACAATGATGAATGCCTGACCTCCTTAACTCATTAGATAAAAAAGGGCAAAACCTGTTATTCCGGGCCATTTGTACTGATCATATTCGTATTTTGACTTTTTGTTGAAATTGGTGGTGAGAAGAATAAACGATAGGCCTAGAAGAAAGAGGAGGGCAAAAGAAAGAAGGATAATTACTCTCTTAGATGATTACTGTCTGTCACTTTTTGTAGTCCCTGGTTTTTATAACCTTAGGCACATGATAGAAAGAAACTGTAAAAAAATCAAATACCAATTTTAAAGGAAGCTTTTATCCCACATCGAATGATTAGGACCACCCAAGGTTTAACATAGTATTAGAGCTGGGCCTTGGGTGGTCAATGGGTTAGGTCTATTACCCATTTGAATGTCTCAGGCATGCATTCTGTTTGTTTGTTAGTCCCACGTGAGTCGGGTCCCATGTGAGGGAGGGTGTAAAACGAACTTGTATTCCAAATCGAATGACTTGCACCATTCAAGCTTGGCTTATATGCTTGAGGGGCCTCTCCACTCAACCAATAATACCCTTGACAACTTCAGTGACACAGATGCTTCAGCATTGGTTAGGTACAAAGGTAGTTAAACAGTATGCTTAATTTTCAGTGCTGATTTTTGTTTGTTGAAAAATTGTTCCTGTTTAGGTATGATCTGATTCTTCAGTTTATTAAAAAGCAGAGCATTGTTACTTTTTTTTTTAAAATCATAGACACGGTATTGTTCAGGATCATTTGCATTGTTTACTGTGATATAATTTGCAAGAAAACTGCAAATGAGTGCTAAAAAAGCTGAATGTTAAATATCTTTCTGAAGTGTTGACAATAGTATTTGACAAACATATATTTGTTGAAAATCGTATGGGTTACTGAGTCAAATCTTTTATTACGTGTATTTCTTCTTCTCTGATTGGTTGGTATTTCCTTTTTTGTGTTGAATTCTAGCTTAGTGGGGCTAGGAGATTGCGCGATGCCATTATTCTTGGGTATCAATTACAACGAATCCCTGGAAGAGATATCTGCATCCCAGATTGGTATGCTAATGCTGAAAATGAACTTGGTCTTCGTAGTGGATCACCAACTACTGAAATGAACAATAATACCTTCAACATGGACTCGTGAGTCTTTTATTTTCTTCATGCTGTTACTTAGACCTTTGATAGTAAGTGATGTTTGCCTATTTCTTTTGACACCTTTGCATTTCCTTTGCAAGATACACTGGGGACTTCGAGATTCTTCATGGAGATTTTCTTGGTCTTTCTGATACAGCAAATTTCTTGAAGAGCTTGGCAGAACTAGATGTTTTATATGATTCTGGAAACCATACCGAGAAGCGCCAGATGCGGGAGCGCAAGGCTGCTGCTAATCTCTTCAATTGGGAGGTCTTCATTTTAACAATCACTTCTGGCAGTTTTCTGTTTGCCTATTATTTGTTTATTGTTGTAGGTGGCATATGAAAGTATTTAATATGAGAGTCTAATTTATAAACACATTATGCTCACGTTATTTAAAATCATACAGATTGGTCCTTGTTTATTCTCACACAAGAGCACCTTTTGTTTTTAGATAATGCATTCAGGGTATATGATGACTTGCTAGATATGTAAGTTGTTGGAGTCATGCTATGAATCATGTTTATAGCAGACTATTTTTCTGCCTATATAGACATCGTTTCTTGTTTTGAGACAATTGTAGAAAGTAAGATAAAAGATGAAGTTAATAAAACAAAAAGATCCCAACACCGTTTCGTCACGTTCACAATACTCAGTGGATTGCTCATAATTGTATGATTTGGGGCTTTACATGTGTGTCCCTCCAAATTCCACCCCCCCCCCCCCAAAAAAAAATAATACAAAAAAAAAGTGGATGTTGGTATCATTTCTATTTATTGGATACAATCTAGTCGAAAGTTTCTAACTGCCTCAGTGTTCTCTCTGTTACTGTATTCACATGTGTAGGAAGACATCTTTGTTGCAAGAGCACCTGGAAGATTGGATGTAATGGGCGGAATTGCTGACTACTCCGGAAGCCTAGTCTTGCAGGTAATTTTTTTCTTTTCGGTTTTTCTGAGGCCATTACACCTGTCTCTTTATGTTAGATGCTGTTGTGCCGTGCTTTTCTCTCAAAAAGTAAGTTTTGTTTTCAACACGAGTAAACACTACCATATCTTCATTGGTTTGTATTCTTTTCATTTTTAATTTTTGCTGGGTGACATTACTTATATAATTTACAAGAAGGTACTGCTGCTTGATCAGACTGCTGGCATAGTAGCTTACTCTTAAGGTCCATCATTGGTATTCAATACTTTTTATATGTGTCAAATTGAGATTCATATCATGAATTCTAGTGTTGTGGTCATGAATCGAATTGAGAATCTCAAGATTCGGCACAAATTACAAAAATAATGTTAAACATAATGTACATATAACAATAAAATTATGATATTGATGACCATATGTTCCATAATCCTTATGTAAGGACATAAGACCTTGCCTTTATGGCAGGAGATGTCGGCCTGAAATTTGTTTTTCAACAAAGTAAAAAGGCCCCATCAACTAAAAAGGCAACAAATAACAATATTCAATAAATCCAGACCAACTTTACAATCATCAAGGGCAAAAATTAACGAAGATAGGCCTTTTCACCTATGAAGAGACTTCACCATTCACACGATCATTTAAAAACCCTTTTATACGGCCCCAAAGTAGCTTTCTCAATACATTCCTATTATTCCTAAAGGGAACAGAAAGAGTGAGGGCGTACCCTTTATTAAAGACCTACAAAAAATGTTTTGTAGTTTTTATAAAAAAAAATTCCATAAAGGGAGAAAGATCGTGGAATTTTGGGTCCAGATAACCCGATGGATGCCATAGTAGACCACGGTTATTTTTGCTAAAATAAAAGTAGATAATTCATGGGTACAATTTATTTTAAAAAATTTCAAATATCCAACAGTATGCTCTGATACCAATTAAAATTCCTAATTAACTGCCAGATATTGCAGATGACGGGTGGAATAGATTTAATTATATTCCTATGCAAACCTGCACGCATTAAACAATTTAATGAGTTGATGAGCCTAGCACATAAATTCGATTGTATGAAGCGTTACGGCTGTGAGGGCAACTATGCATATTGTCTGTGATAAAAAATCTGTGGCAAGTGTAAATACTATATAAAAATCTCAACCGACAACTTGACTCCATAAATATAGAATCCATGGCTCGAATATAGGTATAGAACTCTTCTTTTTCTTTCGCAAAGCGTCACACTGGGCCCTGAGAAGTCATGTGTCCATTCACACTCCAGATGTGAGGGGCAAAGGTGTCCTTAAGCTCCTAGTTTAACCTCTCAATTAAAGGACCGGACGTTGTTGAAAGTACCTACAATAGTTTGATTGGGCTCTTAAAATGTCGAAGCCTGGACTTGGAGTCATGGTGTGATGAAAATGGAGAAACAAAATGTGGAAATGTAAGTAATTAAGTGTAGATATAAATGATTGAGAACCAAATTGAAGATGTCCAATGATCTAGACTTGAAAGAGAAAATGGTTGAAGAGATATGATGTTTGAATGAGAAGTATATGACAAATGACCCGTGTCAACACTTTGTAAAGTTTTTTAGCTTTTCAGACTTCATGGTCCTCTTTCTTATAGAGGTGAGCCTTATTCGGACGAGAGCCTAAAAAATCCCATTGATTATGACATAGTATGGTTCGGACTACCTCCACTAAAACTACCTTAAACCATTACTCTCTAAACACAATGCAATACCAAAAAGCGCTTTCGTGAAAGATGGATCAAATCAGACATCACTCTAGGTTATTTTTGCAACTTTTCTCCATTCTTTCAACATCATTGACTCTATCACTCCTAGGAATCCATGGGATTTTGGATGAAAACAATATATCCTCAAGTAGACTCGGTCTCACCTAGGGTTACGAGGGACAAATAATTATGACTTAACCAAATTTTCTATACCTTCTGCGAGGCTGCTTGCTAAATATATCTTACCCTTCATTTGTATAATTTATTGTTTCAGTATGTTGTTTGCTCCTGACACTCATTTTTATTTATTTTTTCGATAAGAAACAATATTTTATTGACAAAAAAAAAAATCAAAAAAGGTAATACAAAGGTGATAGCCAAATTAAAGGTGGACAAGGCGTCCAACTCCATGATCGATTAATAGAAACATAAAGATAAGCAAGCTATAATCCACATGAAGCTTTTCAGAGCTAGCAGTAATGCAAAAGAGAGGAATATCCTCAAACTCTTTAGTAACAAAGGCCCAAAAAGAAGCCAAAAAATACAATCTTTCCCTTATCCCTTCAAACTCCTCTCCTTTATCCTAAAAAATCCTTGTGTTTCTTTCCATGCAAATGACTCACATAGCAGCAAAGAAAGCACAATGCCAAAGGGTCCACCCTTTTCTACCTCCACCAAAATCCATATCATCCAAACAATGCATAGATAACATGGACCTTGGTGCCACCCAACACATTCCCACAACAATAACTTATTCCAAATAGATCGCGCCAAAAAATAGGTTCAAAGAAGTCATTTGTTTTTTGCATCTTCTGCTTCTTTGTTTGCTAGTGTTGCTGTTCATTTGGTTCGTTTACACATTTTTTATTTTTTATTTTTTTTAAATATCTCACAGATGCCTATTAGAGAAGCTTGCCATGTTGCTGTGCAAAAGATTCATCCTAGTAAACAGAGGCTTTGGAAACATGCCCAGGCTCGGCAGCACACTAAAGGACAAGAATCAACGCCTGTGCTACAAATTGTATGTTACCACAATTTAATTTAATGTTGTTTCCTTAACATAGAAGTCTGTGTATGTGTATTTTGTCATTTCATGGCAAACACAAATCTACTCGTAAAGTGAGAGTTTCTTCTTCTTGGGAAAGCAGAGAGCATGACACCTTGAAATGAATGTAAACATAAACTATCACGATGCTAGCAGCTGGTTTAATTCTTCTCATGGAAAAAAGTCTGTTCAATCAAGATCATATCTGAGAAATATGTGGATGTATGGTTGTGTTTGTAGCTGTATATCACTTTTCTTTGGTTTGATTACCTTCTTTTCTCTGCACATTTTTTGGCATATTAGGTATCATATGGGTCAGAACTAAGCAATCGCGGTCCAACTTTTGACATGGATATATCTGACTTTATCGATGGAGATCAACCGATGTCATATGAAAAGGCAAGAAAATATTTTGCCCAAGATCCATCCCAAAGGTTTGTGCGACCATGCTGTGTTTGGATGCCTGACTTAACTTTGGTTCTGTGCTATACTAACATGGTTCATATCTTAGATGGGCTGCATATGTTGCTGGGACGATTCTGGTTCTAATGAAAGAACTAGGTGTACGCTTTGAGAGTAGTATAAGCTTGCTGGTATGATTTCACTGGATCATTAATGTGAAAACATCATGCCTAATGTACAGACATGCATTGTTGACCCATTGCAGTAATAGATTTCGTTCGAACTTTTTTACTTTTCTCATTTTGGGCTCTCTCTCCCATGTGTTTGTAGCTTGATATTTGCTTACTGCTATCTCGATATAATACTCGTTTTTTGAACACTAGGTTTCTTCTGCAGTCCCAGAAGGTAAAGGGGTATCTTCCTCTGCCTCTGTGGAGGTTGCTAGCATGTCTGCTATAGCTTCTGCACATGGTGATTACACAATTCCCATTCTGTTGACTTGGTTATGGTATTCAATTGTACTACGATGTTTCATTCTTGTGTTTTAAATGTTTTTATGTTTTGTTAGTGTCTAAAATAAACAAGATCTACTTTGGATGACGCCTGTACATTGATGAAAATCAAATCTTAGAAGACAAAAAATGTGGTAGGGATTGATGTGTTAGTTTATTTTTTGGCACCTCTCCAAAGTATGCTAATGTAACCATGAATTTTCTCAGAAGGTTGACCAACTTTAGAGTTGTTATTGTTAGAACATCCAACTCAAAACTAATTGGCAATGGGTGGAGTGACCCGTCAAGTATATAAATCAATTTTGGTGTTCCTAATTATTCAATTTGGGATACAAGCTCTCTTACCAGTTATAAACTATATATTAGGGAGAATATCGAAGTGGATAGTTAAAGCCTGTGATCAGGAAACCTGGTGGTTAATTGACACTTGCAGCTAACAAAAAACATCATAATTTATGAAGTTTTTGTGGATGTGTTGCTTAATCTAGTGGGGTAATAGACTATTGCTTGCATTCATGCTTTGCAGGACTGGATATTAGCCCAAGGGAACTTGCTTTGCTTTGCCAAAAGGTTTGACCTTTAGCATGATTTGATTGATTGCTCCTTGGGTACTTGTCTTATGTTTGATTTCTAGATTCACGTGTGTACATCATTCCTCATAGCTTATTCTCTAAATTATATCTGGTAGGTAGAGAATCACGTAGTTGGAGCTCCTTGTGGTGTGATGGACCAGATGACTTCAGCATGTGGTGAAGCCAACAAACTTCTTGCAATGGTCTGCCAGGTATTTGACTTTATTGCTGCAGAAAAGAACTCTGCTGAGTTAGATTGAAGTTTAAGTAAGATTGTCAAAGGACCTATAATATTTGTGCAGCCTGCTGAGGTACTAGGGCTTGTTGACATTCCAAGTCATATACGATTTTGGGGGATCGATTCAGGAATTCGGCACAGGTAATGATTTGTGTGCTTAGTTTGTTATTTCTTTTAACTTGATGAGAGTGTTGTTGAAATACAAATACTTAAGTTACTCCCTCTCTTTTTTATAGTAGTCAGTGATTTAACATAATATTAGAGCAGAAACTTGTGTGTTCAAATCTTGCCATCACCTTAATAATTTAAATATTTCCACGTGTTAAGCCCAAAATATAGCCAGCATATGAGGGGCGTGTTGAAGTACAAATACTTAAGTTGAACCTAACATTTTCACATGTTAGACCCAAAATATAGCATGCACATGAGGGGATGTGTTGACGTACAAATATTTAAGTTACACCTATTGAATTATAAATGCTTAAGTTACACACTGTCCAACAGTTTAAACTTTTGAAGTAAATGGTTGTTTAACATAGTATATAAGGTCATGTGTTCGAATCTCGTCGGCACCCTAATTATTAAAAAAAAATTCATGTGCTAGGCTCCATATCTAGCCTGCACGTGTGGGGTGTGTTGAAGTATAAATACTTGTTACACCCTCTCCAACAGTTTAAGCTCTTGGAGTAAATTGTTGTTTCACACATCCTCTCTAAGAGTTTAAGCTTTTAGAGGAGTAGGTGGCCTAACAAGCCAATTGGTGGGTTAGTCTCTTGCATAGTTGCATGACTATTGAAAGTTGAGCTTACCAACATTGTGTATCCAAGGGCTGCTGACTGATTAGAACTGATGTATTGTATATGATGCTAAACAAGCAAGGTGTAGCTTGGAGATTTGTTTTGAGTCAATTGTTTCTAAGATTATTTGTTTTCATCCTCATAAATCAGACTTTGGATCTTCTTAGCTGTATGATGTTATACTTGTTTCTGTTTTGTTATGAAGTTTTAACCTCCTTCCCAGGGCATCAAACCAAACCCTATATATCCTCTTTAAATCGCCAACATCAACATGAAATAACTAAATTCCCACTTGTATTTAATTTAGCCACCATTTAGTATTCTGAAAGCAATCATGGTTTCCTGTTGAGCAATGGCCCTTTTGTTTTGGGGTTCTTTTCACCCACTAGCATATCATACATACTTCTGCTATCATCTTTCTTCCTTTTGTTTTCTTTTTAATTCTCTGGAAATTTTTCATGGTTGATGAAGCTTGCACCAACAGAATTCCTTATATTTCTGTTCCATTTGTCATGAGTTCTTAAGCCTAAAAAAGATGTAACTATACTGTATGAGCAAACTCAATTTGTGATATGGCCTCTCTCTCTCTCTCTCTCCCCGCAGTTTTTCTCGAAACTTTAAAAGTTTATTGGCCATATTGCAGTGTCGGAGGTGCAGACTATGGATCTGTGAGAATAGGAGCCTTCATGGGTCGAAAGATAATCGGGTCTACTGCATCCACAATGTTGCCCCAGTCAGTGTCCATTGCTAATGGGATGAACCCAGATGAATTAGAAGAGGAGGGTACTGAACTACTTGAAGCTGAAGCTTCATTAGATTACTTATGCAACCTATCACCTCACAGGTAATAGTCTACTTTTCTGGAGCTGGTGAAATGATGGAGGTATAAGTTTTGATGGGATTGATTTTGCGATATATTTATAGAACTTGAATGATTCGTTCTGATGACTTTTTTTGCTCTCTCTCTCTCTGGCTATAAATCTGTCTGTTGTAGTCAATATGCCACATCTGTGGAAATTTTCTTCAAACATTATGTTTTTCCTTTTTTTGTTCAATGCTACAACATGAGGGGGAACACCCCCCCCCCCCAAAAAAAAAAAAAAAAAGAAGAAAGAAAAAACTGTTTAACACACCCACCCCTTTGTCTTTTTCCCTATCCTCGTTTGATAATTAAACTCTTGCATTTTCACTAGGAATGGGCAAAAGATACTGAGTTAGACAGATTAGAATGTTCGTTTCTTTAGTTACGGTCTATTGCAAAATGAGCCTTTACAAGGCATTTTGTTGTCCCCAATTACATCTGAAGTCACGAAATTTCTTTTTCATTTCCTTCTTTTCCAGATATGAAGCTCTTTATGCTAAGATTCTTCCTGACTCTATGCTTGGTGAGACATTTCTGGAGAAATATGCTTGTCACGATGATCCGGTAACTGTCATTGATACCAAGCGTAATTATGGTGTGAAACCAGCCGCTAGACATCCTATATATGAGAATTTCCGGGTCAAGGTTAGTAACTCATTTGTAGTTGGAGCATAAGCATTTAATATTTTGTGCATATGTTTGTATGCATCTGTAAATCTAGTGGAATAGAGTTTCTTCATTTTCTTCTTTCTTTTCTTTGGACAAATTTTTTACTTCAAAAACCCATAGGTTCTCCTTACAGTTCCTTTCACCTATCGAAGACGTAAGACAACTTTAGGAATTTCTTTATAGTTATTTTTTTTTTTGGACAATGTGCTAGCTTGAAGGCCTGAGGAGTTTGGGTGATCACGACTTCTTGCGATAGGATCTGGGAATATTATTAGGTTCGATCTGTGGTTGTAACACTGCCACATGAATGGGAATTAAGGAGAAGAAAATGAGGGGAAGAGTAAGAAGGATCCAATACATTAGTATATTGGATTGAATGCATAGAACTACTTTCTAGAATCGATACTCATGGGAGTTTCCTAGCACACTTATTGCCTTGTAATTGTTATTGCATGATTTCCTTTCTTTAACTATTTGCTTATCCACTGCCCACAGTAGTTGATTATCAAAGCCACATTCTTTGATTGGATTTTGCTTTTTTATGAGGAAGAGGAAAAGATCGTGGAAACAGCAACTGTCCAAGTGTTAGCTCCTTACTGACTAGGAAGAGAATTAACGGAGTTAAGAAGGCAAGTTGAAGCCTTAATGCTTGCCCTCCAAAGGGTTGTATTTTTACGAAAACTCGTGAGTGTAAGAAAAAGATATCGTGTAGTAACTTGAACAAAAGTTCAAGGTCTCGAAAGCTCGTGAGCGTAAGAAAAAGGTATCGTATAGTAACTTGAACAAAAGTCCAAAGGCGGAAAAGAATTAGAATCCAAGATGATGAAAAATAAATTGAAAAAGATCTTTGAGTTCGAGAATTTTAAAAGTTAATAAAAAAGCTGGATAATCTTCAAAAATCGTCTGTCTATCAGAGGTTGGTAGGTAGACTTATCTACCTAGCCAGCACAAGGCTAGACATTTCATTTACTCTCAATCGAGTTAGTCAGTTCGTGCACAAGTCGTGTTAGTCTCATCTTGATGTAGTTTATCATATTTTTTGATACCTCAAGTCTTGTCCTGAACTTGGATTGTTTTATGCATCAAGATCTCAGACTGGTTCTCTAACCTGTTATTCAGATTCAGATTATGGGGAAACGTGTAACGGTCGATCTATTACAGGCTTCTATGCTTTTGGAGGGACTTATCTAATCTCTTGGAAGAGCAAGAAGCAAGCAGTTGTCTCCCGCTTGTCAGTAGAGGCAAAGTATCGGGCACTGGCACTTGGTACATGCGATATTATCTGATTACGATCGATTCTGGGCGAGTTAAGATTTTCAGTGACTTCTCCATTCACATTATATTGTGATAATCGATCTGTTATTCAGTTCACTTTTGACTCTGTACTACACTAAAGGACCAACCATATAGAGATCGATGTTCACTTTCTTCGGAAGAAGATTAACTGTGGTATTGTCACTTCATCGCTTGTGGGGACCAGTGATCAGGTTTTGGATGATTCACCAAATCTGTCACTCTATCTATTCTCTAGAACTCCATTGTGAAGCTTGACTTTGTTGACATTTTTATTCCTAGCTTGAGGGAGAGTGTTGGAGTTATAGTCTAGTTTATTAGGGTTTCATGATGAGTTTGGTTGAGCAATGGGGTTTGGCTAGGTTTGTTAAGAGTTGTTGAGTTGTTGGAGATGATGTTTGTCGGTGGGGTGGTGGCTGGACTGGGTGGTTGTTGTCGGTGGTGACTTGGGTTGTTCTTGTCGGTGCTTGTTGGAACGGATGGTTTCGTTGGAAGAATGTGGTTGTCACTGATCTGGACTGAGGCAGTCACAGTGTGGTGGCAGTCTAGTGTCTGGTGGTTGGAGGCAGCTGCAACGTGGAGGAAGGGCTAGGGCTATGGTTAGGGTTAGGGTTAGGATTGGCAGTTAAGGGTGGCTCTGATACCAACTTGATATATTTGTGAGTAAAAAGAGATATAAATTAAGTGTAGAGTCCCTGTATATATAGTCAAACAATAAAAGTCACAATAAGGATAAAAAGGTAAAGAAAAGGCAAAACCCTAATAAACTTGGCTATAACTCCAACATCGAGAAAGAATTAGAATCCAAGATGATAAAAAATAAAATAAAAAAGCTCTTTGAGTTCGAGAATTTTAAGAGTTAATGGAAAAGTTGGATAATCTTCAGAATTCGTCTCACCTATGAATAAGAGTTTCTACCTTAAATCTATAACTTATCTACTTTAGTATTTAAATTATTACAGACGAATAATTTTCAACTACAAATTTGGAAAGAACTAATGTAGCAATTGAAATATAGTTTATGATGAAAGAAACAATACTCTAAAGATTGCAGGAAAAACCACAACTATTTGTACCAAGTTTAATTGCATACAAATAGCAGGGACGTATGCAAACCAATTAGGTTTTCGAAAGCATAACCTGTTCAATCAATCACATAAACATTAAAACCCTAATTTAAGGTATACACACTACTTCATAGGTTTGGGACTGCTTCCTCAGAACATCCAGAAGAAAACTACTCACTCATGATAATGAAAATGACATAAAATTTAAAGGAAGACATAATTAAATGTAGAAAAGTAAAGGCTGAATTGGAATTGATTATTTGTATTGAAAAACCAAATGTAAATAATAAAGCTTCGAAAGTAAGGACAATTGAAATTAAGTATTGCTTGAGCAACAAAAAAATAATAATTGAACTTGGAAATTCTGTAAAGTAAACCCTGAAACTCTTTAACAAGAAAAGTAAACAAAAAACTCCTAAATGTATTCTCTAGCCCCCTTTTGATTCCCCAAAGAGTCTCTATTTATAATTGGTTGAAAGGAAAGATCTCTATTCATCCCAAATTATATCCTTCCTTGATTGGTCGAGAATCCCTAAAAGATATGACAAGATCTTAGTTTTAATTAAGCTTCCCGTAAAAATCTGCCACAACTTACAGGTAGCATGTCTTTTACCTACCGGTTGGTCTCTTTCTGATGAATTCTTTGCAACTTTTGTAACTTTTGCTACCGGTAGAACATCCAGTAGGACTTCTCTCATAAAATTACTGTGAGCTTTGCTACAGGTAGAATATGTTTGACTACCGGTAGAATTTCTTTGATGAAAAAGATGCAAACTTATGTAAGGTTTGGTTACTGGTAGGACTTTTGTACCAATCTTCGATAGCTCAAACTATCAGTAGAAATGACTTGCTACCAGTAGAACCTTCATTCTTTTGTCTTCCTACCAGAATAAAACCTACCGGTAGAACTCTTCTTTTCTTCTAATTTACTTCTAAGACTCCCGGCTTTATCTCTACTCGAGTAAACTCAATCTCAACTTGTCCCTTGCCATCTTTTTAATGCTTAAACTCAGCTTTTACATCCAATTTACCTGCAAACACCAAATTCAAGGTTTAATACACAAACCATACTAAGTGAATTAGTACATTAGCAAGACTAAAGTGAATATGTTTAGTTATGAAATAATGCAATGTTGAAGTCTCAAAACTTAACTAGAACCTGTAGTTGTCATGACTAACAACTGCAGTATTAGAACTGAAATGGGATGATGGATTTTAAGGTGAAACCTCCAAAGCATAACGGACGATTACAAGCAGACGAAGTGATTCGCTAGTGGGTCCACTCAATTTGATGCGGGAATATTGAGTGGAAAGCCAAGAATCAATGATTGAGAAATGAAAAAAAAAAAAATCTAGGCAGGAGAATTTTCTCTTTAATTATGTTCAGATCATATACGCTCTTTTGCAACATCTTCGTCAAGGAAATAGGAGCGTTCTACAGAGTTTTCTTTTAAATTAATTGCCAGCATGACATGTTTGAGAGCAAAGAGTATTGGGTAGCATTGTGTATTGGTGGTATTGTATGTTGATAGTTAGAGGCGGAGTTTTATTTTTGGGAGGACACAATATGACTAAATACATTCATGTACTAATACTAAAAAAAATAATAGTTCAAGCCTAGTAACAAAAACTAAGATTCAAGACTAAATTACTATATTGAATAGTATTCTCGAAAATTATCTACCCTTGATTAATTCAAAGCTAAATTTCTTACGAATTTTCTTTCAATGTGTGCAATCACCGAGTCAATGGCGAAAATCATTATTTTTTTTGCTGCAAAATTTAAGTGAGATCATCCATCGTCTTGTTCAGAAATTAATTATTTAAAATAGCAGAAAATGCTTTTGGTTACTACATTCTTGAAAAATGGTAGACAATCATTAGATAGAAGAGATGTATTATTGGATGTTGCTGGAGATCTCAGGTTGAACATGGTTTCTGAAGTCCAATTGAGACTTCACTTTATGTAAGTATTGCCTCCTACACCGCATGTTATTGATAGTTTCATTAATAGCAAGTAGAGTGACAAGGTGTAGGCCAGGGTAGAGCTTAGTATATTGATAGTTTTGTTCTTTGTCTGCAATAGAGCTCTGTTTTAAGAGTCCTTATGCCATATTCAGGAAACAACAAGCATTCACACGGGCACAATGAGACACTATTGTTAAATTGCTCGTGTGTTGCTAGCCAGGGTATTAAAAGAAATTCTATAAATTAAAAAAAAAAAAAACCAATTATTGGGTACTGCAGAAGTGGTGCATCTACTTAAGTAAATAGAAATCCATTGATGGTCTTAAAGTGGAGATAGTAACTCAACCTACTCAACTAAACAATGTTTTGTCCCTACATTGTTGGGGTCAGCGTTATTAACTAGACTCTAAATAACTCTACTCAATTAGTTAAGTATATTTACAGCTCTATCAATTAGTTTTCCTCCCCATACTTTCATCTTGATTAATTGTTACCATTAGAAAATGGAACCTTTTTTCTTTTGAATTTGTGCAGATTATATGTCTGTCTCCAAGTTCCTGAATTACTTGCTTATATTCTTTGATATGCAGGCCTTTAAAGCACTATTAACGTCTGCAACTTCGGATGAGCAACTCACTTCTCTTGGAGAACTGATGTATCAGGTAACTTCATATTTCTTTTCATTTGGTTGCTCTCTTTTGCTGGAATTTGATTTTGCTGTTTTTTCACTACTACCTATTTTCAATCGGGCAGGCAGTCAGTTTCGATGAATCATATACAAAAAATAAATAAACAAATAGATGCTGTCTTAATTGTCAGTGGAATTTACCGTAAAACAAATAAGTGGCAATTCAATATAAAACAGATTCTTTTCTTTGGTTTGGTTTGGGGAGATGTTTCATATAGACTTGTAAGTGGATCAAATCAATTTGCATATCAACTTAATCCATCAGGCACCAAAAAAAAAAATAGAAGTGGGTAGCCCAATGCATGAGTCTTGTCCTCATACTTTAGTCCATCAAGCCTAGGGGTGCAACTTGGTTGGGCAACCCGAAAAATTTAGGACTTGGGCAAGGGTTTTTAATACTTGGGTTGGACTTGAGTCAAAAAACCTCAACCTGAATTCAATTTTGACGGCCTTGGGTTGACCCCTCGGGTTCAACCTGAATTACTATTATATAAATATAAATTTTGAATGTTATGTAATATATTTGAATGTTATGTTTGTGTTCTGTTAAACTGGTTGTTGGTTGTTAAATTATGTAATATATTTGTGTTTTATTTGAAGTTGTTGGTTGTTAAATTATTTGAATATTATGTAATATATGTATCAGGTTTAGAACATTAATCCGAAATCAGCCCGAAAAGTAACCCGAAATCATTAACCTGAATTCAATCCGAGCCCGCCTGAATTAAACTCGGACAGTGTTTGGGTTGAGTTTATCAACCCGAGGTAGGGTTAGGGTTAGGATTAAGGTTGAAGATTTTATACTTAGAGTTGGACTAGGGTTGAATGTTCAACCTGCCCGAGTTGCACCCCTAATCAAGTCATGAATAGATTTCGAAATTTGATGTAGGGGAATTTGATTAGAAGTATTTCCACTATGAATGAATTATTTTTCATCAAAATTTGGAGAAACCATGATAGCATATGAAAATGCAACAAATGTTGATACATTACCTTCTTCTGCAGTGCCACTACAGTTACAGTGCTTGTGGACTTGGCTCAGATGGGACAAATAGGCTTGTCCAATTAGTTCAAGAAATGCAACATGGTAAACTGGCAAAATCTGGAGAAGGAACTTTATACGGAGCGAAGATTACTGGTGGTGGATCGGGTGGAACAGTTTGCGTCATTGGCCGAAATTGCCTCCGGAGCAGCCAACAAATTCTTGAGGTAAATTTAGGGAAAACTATTTTAGTGGAAGTGCAGACAACAATAAGCATAAGTTAATACATAGCAATCATAAGCAATTTTCCTTTGAAGGAAATTATCAATAATCTTGGTTTTGGTCATTTTTGTTCATTTTCAATTGTTCCTTCAGGTAGAGTAGCTCTCTACATAGTATGGTGGCTGATAGGCTCTGTTTAAATGTGCAGATTCAGCAGAGATACAAAGGTGCCACGGGCTATCTGCCAGTTATTTTTGAGGGTTCATCACCCGGTGCGGGGAAGTTCGGGTATTTGAGAATTCGCCGTCGCATCCCTCCAACAAAGTTGGTGTCAAATTAGTAATAAAAAAAATAATAAAGATAAAAGAACAATTGTTCTCTAAAACAAGTTCCATCTATCTATATATGAGCTCTTACCAGTACTTTTAAGAAGCATAGCTTGGGTCGAAGAATAGTGATAGGAATTCAATTTTAACTACCTTATTTTCTTACTTTAGGAACTTGTGCAATTTTCTTTAACTTGCATTCCTCTCTTTCCTATATTTCTCTCCCTGGTCTTTACTTCTATGTTCTTATTCCTCTCTGTCTTCTATGTTCTTATTCCTCTATCTTCTATGTTCTTATTTCTGTGTCTTTCATTGCGGATTCTAAAAACAATATCCTTAAAAAGTATGACTTAAAATAAATCATATTACGACCTTAATTTGTACATTTGAGTAGGGGCCGCCCAACATATAAATTGGGGTAAAAAACAACAAATTTTACATGAGAATATTTTAGAAAAATAATAAAAAATTATTATTATTTGACATTTTATAGAGAGTTTGAGATTTGATTTAGTTATAACATTTTAGTGAATTTGAGATTAGATAGGATCAAACAATAAATTGGGTACAATTGAGAAGTCATGATCTTGATGAATAAATCGATGGGTAAATTTTAAAACTAGTCCATGAATTTTGATTTTAGTTTTAATTTGGGCCCCTGAACCGTCAATTATTCGAATTTAGTTTCTCAACTATCAATTTTGTCTTAGTTAAGTCATTTCGTTAATTTTTACTGTTAGATCAAAATGGAAATATATGATCTAACAATGAAAATTGATAAGATCGGACTAGTCTCTATTTGATCTAATGATAAAAATAAACAGAAGATTTAATTGAGACGAAATTCATAGTTGAGAGATTAAATTGAGACAATTGAAATTTTAGGAACCAATTATGATTTTTAGTCTAAATTGATTGGAGTCGTATAAGAGCTGGAGCAAAACAATGAGAGTGGGAGTGGGAGGAAGATAAATATTTGGAGAGTTGATGAAGATAACCAATTATATATGTATGAACGTCAAGCAAGGATGATCAATTAGAATTTGATCAACACATAAGAAATTCAAGGGAGAAGAGAATATATGCAGACATCGTACGAAAGACTTGAGTGTTCTCAAATATTTGCTTTGGCTGTCATGAATTTCATATGTATATTTGAATTCTAAATATAATAACAATTAATTAAATTATTTTTTATTGATTGACCTCTTGAAATTTAAGTTTGTGTTTTTTGTGATGGATTAAAATTTTCTTTCATATGTTCTGAGTAAATATTTTATTTGAGTACATTTAAAATTTAGTTGTTCTAAATCACATTTAAAATTAAGAATTTTGATTGATTGGTTTTCTAGTGTCGAAAAATAAAATTATTTATAATAAATTGAATAGCTTTAACATTTGACCAAAAAATAAAATAAAAGAAAAAAGAATAACTTTAGCATTATGATTTTAATATAACAATTAGTTATAGTTTGCCCTCACTGCACATAAATTCTGATTATGTCTTTGCACGTTAGCATTCTCACGTGATATCACTAACTAATAATATGTAAACAAACAAAATAAATGAATTTCACACAAATCAACAACTATATAATCTTCCTCCAAGTAAGCGTATTATGTTAGCAATTTATTATTTTTTTTTCACCAAAAAAACACATACATGAATATTTACATTAAATTGGTGGGATTCAGTTAATATATCATTAGTACGTTATCATCTAACTCTTAAAACAATGTCTTGTTAAACAGTAAATTACAATAGTTAATATTTTTGTATTGTCTTATTATTTGTTTTAATATTATATAATAACACCATGTGAAAATATTGACGTGATGTCATGGTTGCATTGAATATTTACTCCCCTTTGGGCTACTAAAAGAGTTAATTAAGTTGATTAACTTATTTAGTTAGTTGATATAGTTATTTAATTTTAAATTCCATGCATCGCTAGCTCGGGATTAAAAAAAATAATTTTAAATTAATCCTAAAACTAAAAATGATATGATTGTTAATTCCACCTTATCCTAAAAAAATAAAAATATGATTTGTTATGTTTATCCTTAGGGAAAATTTAAGTCATATCCTTTTTAATTTAATATATCTTTAATAACACCTCTTATATTTATTAAATCTTCACTAAAACCCCCTATTAGATTAAAAGTTTTAACTATAATATATTTTACTAAATTATCTATGATATATTTTAGAAAAAAATTAATTTATATCCCCTCTTAGATGGACATATCTTCAATGAGACCTTTTACATTTTATGAAATTTTTTATGTATTAAAATTCAGGTTGATTAAAATTCAATTCGAGTCAATTTAATTGACTCGAATCAAATTTTAATCAACTCACATTGAAATATTGAATTTTAATTGGGCCAAATTTTGATACGTAGAAAACTATAAATTTTTATCTACTCAAATTTTAATCATCTTAAATTAAATTTTAATTGACATGAATTTTAATAAGTAAAAAAATATATAAATTCCAATTGATTCGAATCAAATTTTAATCGATGCAGCTCAAGTTGAGTTTAAATTGACTCAAATTTTAATATGTTAAAAAAGGAATTTTAATAGATTCAAATTTTAATATGAAACAAAAAATAAAATATAATTAGGTTGACTCAAAATTTAATATATAAAAAAATGAATTATAATCGGCTCGAATTTTAATAAGTAAAAACATAAATTTTAATCAAATTTTTTATATAAATATTATTTGGAGTTTATATAAGAACAATTTTGGTATTTAATATATATATATATATATGGTAATTGGTAAATTACATTTACATCTCCTGACATTTAGTTTTATTATACGAACACCCTCTCACATTTTAAAAATAACACCAAACTCCCTTGATATTTAAAACTCGTAACCAATCACACCTCCTCCAACTAACAGACGTTAAACTTGTAAACAGTCAAAGCTGAGGTCATCAATCATAATTCTCAAAATACCATCCAAATTTATCAAACCTCTCATTTATTTTTTTAATCTATATATGAAATATATATATATATATATATATATATATATATATATATATATATATAACACTTATGTGTTTAATTTCTAAATACATTATATTAATAAATAAAATATTAATTTTTTTGTTTATTAAATAATATTTGGTACTATTAATACAATTTGAAAAGTAATCATTTTTTTAAAAACCTTAAAAATTACATAATTCAATTATCTCACATTAAATTTAATTTTGTTTATTATTTATCTGATTACATAAATTTTTACTCTTTTATTATTTATTTAATTACATAAATTTTTACTCTTGTCACCATCACCACTAGTTCCACCACCATTACCACTGTCTAAACTTAACCACCGCAACAGTGCATCTACCACCCCAAACATATCTAAACACTACCAGCACGCACACACACACACACACACACACAAAGAGAACAAAGACAGAGAGAAACCACAACCTAGCCAAAATCCATCATCAACCATCTCTATTCGGTCCACCACCTAAACCAACGCAACACCACTTATTCCACCACTTAAATCCACCAATCACCACTGATTCCACCACCTAAATTCACCAAAACTTTCAAACCCACCAAAACTTCCAAAGCCACCACCACCACCACAAAGAGAGAAAGAGAAGATAAACTAAAACCACAATCTATTGAAACCACCCCTGCCTCCACCACCACTTGGACCAAATCTGTCATTAACCAACACCACTAAATCGTAAAGGTTAGGGTTTTAAAACCCACCACCTGCAAATTCCACCTACAAAATCCACTCATCACTACCGATTTCACTACCTAGGGTATTGATTACAGAGAGATAGGCGAGAAAGAGATGGAGATCACAAACACTAACCTCTGTGATGGTGGTGTTGGTGAAAATAAGCGATTGTGGTTGCGCCGTTGGCTGTTAGTTCCGATTATTAAAGATAGAGAGACGGTTGCTAGGGGCTTTGATTCGTCGTGAGAGAGAGAGAGTGTGTGTGTGAATTGCGAGGGGCCAGCTTTCAAGGGAGGGATCTTAGGTATTGGGTTTTGGGTTTTAGATTTTGATGAGTAATTAATGTGAGGATAAAATTGTTGTTTGTGCTGTTAATGGAGTTCATTTTGTGGGGTCTCTGTATAATTTTGAAAAAGTGAGGGGTGTATGTGCAATAAAACTAAACGTAAAGGGGTGTCATTGTAATTTATCCACCATTTTATAAAAATTATTGTTTAATGGTAGAAGGTGTCAGTAATATTTTGGATAATAAATAGAGTGTTTTTAAAAATATGATAAATTAGAAGATGTGTGACTAAAATTTTTTCTTCCAAAAAATATCTAGAAAAATATTAGGTATACGAATACACCGTATCATTACATTGAGATCTAATTGTTCATAAGATAATAAGTGGATTTCACAAAATTAAATAACTACTCATATACATGCCCAGCAATAACTACTCATTTAGGATTTATTTCTCTATTTATTATTTTATTGTTAAATAATATTATTATTTCCGCGTGATGATATTGTGTAACATTTTTTCCACAATTACAAATTCAACCTATCTTTGAATTTCTAATAAATTTTAGATTTATTGAGGTAGATATCCTCTGCTATGTGGTCCCCACCATTCCATCCCCACCAGTGGGGTCCAATTCTTACAAGAGCATCTTTCTTTCTTTCCTTCCGATTAGGTATGTTGCCTTTATGGTAATGCTTGAATGATGGCCGGTGACCGACCTTTCCGGTATCGTCCGAGTTTTTCTCTCTCTTCCCGCCTCACAAAACGGAAGTCAGTTCCTTTGCCCACCATGTAAGTTCTTTCTTTCTCGTACCATCTTTATTATATTTTCCTGTATTCTTTAATCCCCTCTTCATAGAAAGTTATAAAAAACCCATGAAAGTACAAATATCTGAACCCACCCAACAACAAATTTTACCTGTAAAACACATTCTTCCAAACAAAAAAGGGAGAAGTTTCCATTTTTAATAATTTTTATATCTTTTTACAGTTGAAT